GTATGTTGCAATATGATATGTTTTATGATTTAACCTATAATTATTTAATTCTTTTTATTTTCCTTCCTATTACTTTTGTTAAAAATTTGTTATATTTTTACTCACTAGTAAATTGTCTTATAATGCATCAAACCAAAGTTTTCTGCTTATTAGTATCTGCGACTGACGAAGAAATAGACTGGATTAATGAAACCAAATACCTTGGAGTCACCCTTGACCAAAAAACTTACCTTCAGAACCCATTTCCGGTCCGTAGTACAAAAGTTTAAAATCACCATAGCTACTATGCGACTTCTTCTTGGTAGAAAAAGCAACTTATCTACTACAAACAAATTAATTCTATATCGCTCCACACTGTCCCCAGCTCTCCTTTATGCAGCACCGATCTGGGGACATGCAGCTAAACCAATATTAAAACAATTACAAATTCTACAAAATGAAATTCTACGAGAAATTATCAATGCTCCTTGGTATATTCCCAACATCTATATTCACAGAGACCTTCGAATCGAACTTATTCAAGAGTATATTAAACGATTAGCGGTCAACTTCTTTTATTCAGTACAGACCCACAGTAATAGCCTTATTAGCACTCTCAGACACTCCCCGCATCCCAGAGAAAAACATCGTTACCCATGTGACATCCTTACCACATAATAAGCACAACCTTAATTGACTCATTCACGCTAAACTGACTCTGCAGTTTTACCACCAGCAGCTTCATCATATAACGACACTAAATTTGCCGCCTCCCTTTTTTCGCCGCCGCTAGTGCGGACCTCAGTCTCTTTCATCCGCCTCTCACACTCCTTTCACCCTACTCTTTCTCCCCCCGATCCTTATCAGAAGTCGAGTAAAAAGATGTTTCTACATCTTGACACTCGAGAATAAAATACGATCTGTGTGCGTGTGTATCTACGATATATAATATATTTGTAGCTACGTGATAAGTATAATTCTTGAATAAATAAAATTATTGATATAATCATGGGTTGCTAAAAATTAAAAACTTTTTTTGGAATTATTATTGAATAATTTAAAAATTATTGTTTTCATTAGGAATATTAAACACGCGTACGCAATGCTATATTTCAATGATTTGACTTATGACGTTGTTGCATAACCTTTTCAGACAAAATAATATATTTTAATCATAAAATTCCTGTTAACAAATAGTTTACAAACATGTAACCTTTTAGAAATTTTCCATTTTGCAAAAAATCATACGTAAAATTATGTTTACGTTTCTTCACATACGTGAAGTTTTGAAAAGGCCATTTCTTTCTGCGTTTAAAAATATCCATTAACGTTCCCCATTTCTTTTTTCCATACTCTTTACTAAATGTGCTATCCAGCGGCTTAACAGCAGCGGATTTTTTCGGAAAAGTTCACCATTTACTAGAACTCGTTGCTTTTTTTTCCCTACCGCCATCCTCAGTAATAAACACGTGCGAAACAGCCCCTTTGACAACAAACTACCCCCTTCTCCTGTGCCTCGAGCAATGTAGAGGTGAGATAGACTGGTTGCTATGCAACTTATGTCATTTCCGCACGGAATTTTCACTTCATTTTCCGCCGACGGAATTTGAAGGAGCCAGACCAGTACCTCCTACATACTGTATGTAGGAGGTACTGGCCAGACTCGCTCTCCCTTCTGCTGTCGAGTGGAAAGAGAATCCCGACTGGTTTTCCGATATCGATCTCGACCGCTGTCTGGACTAGACTCCTAAGGTGGAGATAAACAAAAAATTACTATTTAGCGCAGTCTTCTGCGTGTAAAGAGAAAGCATCAAATCTGCCTTTTCTTTTCGTATTGTAAAAAAGCATATCATTTTTTTTCCTTACGTCAGACAGTTTTTTCGCGGTATTTTTTTTGAGGGGGAGGAGTACTTCATATAATATGTAATTAGAACGATATTTTTTAAATGAGTGATGTTATTAAAAAACTGTTGCGCGGAAATAACTCATTTTCTTGTTGTTTCCTTCCAGTAGAACAGGATGTTGCAATAAAACTGATTTCACGAGTTTTCATTATTTCATTTCTGCTTCTGATATATACACAGGGTTATTCGTTATCACGTGTACAAACTTATGGAAGGATAGGTTATTTATAGACGCATTAGTGAAATGCGATGAAATGCAAGGGAGACCGATCCGCCTAGTCTTATTAAAGACCAAATGATCATGTATAGGTCTCCCCCAAAGAAGAACCAAAAGGACGGCTACCAGCGATCCGTGGTTCCCCACAGTATAGGGAGCCGGAACTACCAAAAGATATAAAGATCGATAAAATCTGCTCATTAAGTCAAAAATAATATTAAAATAATCCGAGAAACCAAAGCGTGAGTCCGGGCAACGAAAAACATTAATCTAAAGAAACCAAAAAGAAAGTAAACTTACAATTAAAGGTCACAAAGCTGAAATTCACACATACAAAAGGAAAGCGAGGAGAACGTAAAATAACTAAATCAGGAAAATGTTTGTTAATAAAAACTAAAGAGAGAAGGAAGAAAAGCTACAAACAAACGAACAACTCACAACAATCAAGCACACAAACACATAACGCAATCAAAGAATTAAAAATACCTGGAAGGGCCAGGAAGAGAGTCGCCGAGGAATTCCCAATTAAACTTTTATTTAATCAAATACAGGTGTTCAATCTAATTGTTCTAGTTCCGGTACAATTAATCAGATTTAATTAAATTAATGTCTGACTATTTCATTCCAATTCAATTCAATCAATTTAGAAAAATTTAATCAAGTTAGTTATTTTTTTTTTTTTTAAATCCAAGTTAACCAGGAAAGGATCACCTCCGATTTGACCACTGAGACCCTAGTTCTCAGTGGTACTTCAATATAATTACAAAAACAAAATTTTTACAGATCTTGGTAAACTTATACTGCATAAATTCACAGACATTTAACTCTGAAAGACATGTATTGTGTTCAAAGCAATAATTAAAACATTGGTTTTTATACTCAATGAACTAGACAATAAATAATAGAATTTCTTAAAACCTCAGGCATAAAATGTTTAAATCGTAAGTAAGTGTAAAAAATGAATTAAGACAAGACAAGACATAAATCAGTAAAATTTCTCTCGGGTTTTGTATAAACTTCAATATATTAAAATTTACAATAGAACAATAAAATTTGGCAGACAATAAAATCAATATCTGAAACAATCAGATGTCCAATAAATTGGAGCTAATATAACTCAATAAAAACTCAATATATAAAATCAAATATATTTTCTTACATAATAAAACACAGTTATTCTACAAAGAATTGTCTACAAAATTCAAAGATAAAAGCATAATCATCAAATATATATACCAAAGGCCGTTCTATTACTGTTAATCATAATCATAGCACTCCTTGCAAAGCCTCTCAATCCTTTCAAATCAACTGGTGCAGTGTGCCAAATATTTGTTTTCTTAAGTTATTCAATTGAGGACAATGATAAAGAAAGTGCTCCGCGTTCCCAATAGTATTACAAAAACCACATAAATCAGTGTTCTGCAAGTTAAAGCGGGAGAGGTACGCGGGAAATCTGCCATGACCAGTCAAAAACTGGTTGACATCTATATCAGAGAAAAGTGACATATCTTTTTTAATTTTGATATTTTGTAGTAGACCCACGCACCTCTCAGATTCATGCCATAAGGAAGACCATGTTTTCATATAGTAACTCTTCATATTTCGAGTGGCAAAGCTCCTGGAACCTGACACCTCAAGAAACGGAATGTCATCATCTGTAGCTGCCTGCTTAGCCAGCACGTCGGCCCTTTCATTGCCAATAAACCCAACATGAGCCTTAACCCAATGAAATTTTATACTCATTTTACATTTCAAGCATTTATAAGTTTCCTTAATTTCAAAAATCAAAGAATTATTGGTGCGGGTCGAGGACAGGGATTGGAGTACGGACATACAATCAGAAAATATATTTACGGTGGTTACAGAAGATAAATAATTCTGAATCCATTTTAAAGCTTTAAGAATGGCACAGCACTCTGCCTGATAAACTGAATTATAATTATTTAATTTGTACATTTCAGATGCTATTTCAATACCATAATAATAAACAACAAAAGCCGCACCAAATTTATCAGCCTGCCCCGACCCATCAGTATAAACATCTATTTCATTTACAGTAGGCAGACATTTTATCAAAATCTATAATAATAGAATCAGAAGGGTGTAAGAAGCCCGTATAAAAATTTTCAAACATATATTTGGTAATTAAAATGTCATCATATAAAATAAAATCTAATCTATTAGTCCTCAAGAGAAATTTTTCATAAAATAATTTATATAATAAAGAAAGGGGCGACGTACCGGCGAGAACGCAGAGCACCTCAGTAGAGACAGTACGAAAGGAACGGGTAATACATAGGCACCAGCTCCGTTGAATAGTATCAAGCTTATTCCTTAATCTAAGCAGTTCCCCCGCTCTGGAACCCCAGGCACCTATACCATAAAATATCCTCGGGACAATAACATTTTTAAAGATCTCTCTCAATGTATATGCCTTAATAGCCAGAGTGTCCGCAGAGAAGGTCCTCTTGTAATACATGAGCAAATTATCAGAAGATCGATGTATGTTTTTAAAATGCTCTGTAAAGGTGAGCTTATGGTCTATGATCACACCTAGGTATTTAATAGTGGTGTCGAACTTGATTCTTTGATCTAAATAACGAAGCTGTGGAGTTCTAATATTCGCTCCGCCCCTCGGAAACATAATAGCAGAGGTCTTACTTATATTAAATTCTAAGCATTCGTTTATTCTCCATTTCTCAAGTTTCTCCATAACGTGATCGAATAAATTTTCAATTTTTGCTAAAGACGGAGCAGTAATTAAAATGACCAGATCGTCTGCATACCCAACAAGTTCCACTCCATCGGGAAAATCCAAAGAGAGGATCTTATCAATAATAATATTCCAGAGCAGGGGGGCACTGCAGGAGCCCTGCGGACAACCAATAAAAATGTCAAGTTCAATCAAAGCCTCTCTTTTTCCAAATCCATTGTAAATAATCCTGCGCTCCAGCAAAGTAGTCAAAGTAGCTCCGTACTATATTCCTTGGAGTCTTTAGGGCAATGAGGGTCTGCAGGACGGAACGCCATCGTACGGAGTCAAATGCAGAAGACACATCTAAAGAAACCAAAACTACGTGTTGTGTCTTTTTATGTGTTTTAATGAAATCCATAACATCATAAAGAGCATCGTCCGTAGAACGACCAGGGACAAACCCATATTGCCGCCGACTAAGTGGAGCATTAATATTTAAATAGTGTCTCAGTCTTTCCACTATGATTTTCTCATAAACCTTACCAAATACACTCAGGAGTACAATTGGTCTCAGTTTTCCATTTGGCTTAGGGAGTAAGATCACTCGGCCCAATTTCCAGCAACGAGGAAAAGTCCCAAATTTAAAACACAAATTAAAAAGTTGTAAAAATAAGTCTAAAAATGTATAGATAAAAACCTGTACAAAAATAGGACTAAAAAAGTCAGGACCAGCCGCACTTCGTCTCCTCAGCTGGTTAACAGCACATCTGATTTCAACAGATGTAATCATGGGCTCAACATTATTTACGACTCTCTCATCTTCAAAGACAAAGCTATCAAAACAGCCTAATTTCAAGGCTCCAGTAATAGTCTGACGATTTAGTTCTTTCAAGTCACTAATTCCCGTAGGATTATTAAAAGTAGAAGCAGGTCTGGTTTTACCAGAGGCAATGCGGTAAAAACCATCATAATAGTTGACATTATTAATAAAAAATTTTCTTTTGGTATCAGACTTAGTTTTCCTAATTGTTCGCTTATAAATAGCTAATTCCTTTTTATATAGGATTTTTCTTTTTAGGCGGACATCTTCTAAAATACCAGGAGTCTGGAAGCTTTTCCTCAAGGCTCGTATTTTACGTCTAAGACAGGTAAGGTGGGAATTCCACCAAGAGATGTTTTTATCGTTGGTATGTCCAACCCTTAATTTCTTTTCCACATCTCGAGAGATATCTTCAAAGAATTTCGTGGTACAATAATCAAGACTTTTAGAATTGCTGCAAACATCAAGCTCTAATTTAAAATCGTGTACCTTTTTATGCATGCTTTTACAAAATCTTGTGATCCTTGAGACATCCCTGGAAATGTTAATTTTGGGATCTATATGAAAGTCCACATCATAGACAAGGCGTACATAACGGTGATCGCTAAGACTTTCATCCAATAGAATCTCTAGCTTTCCAGAGCAAGTATAAACATCCGAGGAGGAAAGAACCAAATCCGTCCATCCCTCGCCAACAACCGATTTGAAAGTGGCAACAGAGTCGGATTCATTGTATAAAATCAAATTGTTTGAAATAATAAAATCACAAACAAGTCGGCCACGAGAGTCGATGACTCCCGCGCCCCAACATGTGTGCTTAGAGTTAAAATCACCCGTCAGAATAAAACTTTCATATTTTGTTAAAATGGTTTCTAAATTCGATAAATGGCTGTCAATATCCTCTGCAGCAGAAAAGTAAACTGTGATTATACCCAATCTCTTAGAGTCGCGGTTAAATACAGAGATGGCAGTAATAGTGTCTGTTTCCAAGTCCCTCGTAAAATCAATATCTGGTCGAGTAACAAGTATACCTGTCCTACCCTTGTCTAAATAGGCGAATCTCCAGCCAGGGCTGACAAAAGCTAATGAGTCCTGAATAGCATAGGGCTCCTGCATGCAAATAATGTCTGGGATAGAACCCATGATATCACCAAGAACTTGGAGGTGGGCCTGAGCTAGAGCACAATGATTTAAATTGATACTCAATATAATCATAATCTGATTTCTCCAAGATAAAATATAATATATAAAAGTGTAGTTAAAATCAAGGAACAGTCAAAACATATACACAAGGTATATAATAAAACAAGACAAATACAATTAAAAGATACGAATCAAAAGCATCAATTGGAACCCACCACTGAATTCCAAAGTGAACTAAACATCGAACTCAACTTCCAGATGATCCTTCAAGAAATTCTGCTCGTTAATCAAACATGGGCATTTTCTGTCGGTAGCACCGTGACAAACATCATAATTAGTTTGAAGTTTTTGGTTTGAGTAGTTGCAATTAATGCAGCATAAATTATCATTTGTGCATTCTCTGCCAACATGTGGCCCAGCACATTTGGGGCAGAAAATTTCTGCCTGACAGTTCTTCTTCGTATGACTGAAAGACTGACATTTGGTACACTGTCGCGGTCGCAAGAAGAGCTTTACATTATAGTGCCTCCATCCTCTATTGATACTTCTGGATGAGATAAAATCACCTTGGCACAGACCACTAACAATAAAACACTAACAATAAATACTTGCAATAGGTATTGAAATTTGTCATCGTCATCTATATTTAGATCTTCGCGATCTCTTACTGTCCCAAAATCCTAACCAATTTCGGGTCTTCCCATTAAATTTTTGAAGCTCCAACTTTGGTAATTTAAAGTTCCTTTTCGTGGAATTTTCTAAAGTCCCAGGTGTAATTAAAGGAGTGGAATTCACCATTCTATTTTCTACTTTTCTTTTTAAACTGATATATTTACCACGATATGTTTCATTCGTGTCAAAATCAGCCAAATATTCACTTTTCAACAAAAGTTCGGAAGTTTGTGATTGAACTAATCTGTTGAATTTTCTTTCCAACTGTGAGCTCAATACTTGGAGTTGATTAAGCTCCACGTCAGGGTTTAGAATTCCAGCATGTAAAGCATTGGCAGTAATCGTAAACGATTGCCTTAGTGGCTTACGCTTTCTTAATACAATTTCCATGATTTTAAATTCAGTATGTCTAATATAATCAGATAATAAAAGATATAATCAAATAAATCATAAACTCACTTGATAAATTCCAATACGAAATCGATGTTTCCTTTTCAAACCGTTCTTTAGTTTTCTTCAAATGTTTCCTTTAAAAACCGTTCTTTAGTTTTCTTCAAATGTTTCCTTTAAAAACCGTTCTTTAGTTTTCTTCAAATAGCCATTCCGTCCTGTCACTGACGCCAGTTGCTTGAAATAAATCAATTTCTTGACTTATTTTTCGGACAAATGGTAATATATTTAGCAGAGAAAACCTTTTTAATTAACAACGAACTATTTTATTTAGCATAAACATAACAACAACAAAATAAATAAATAAATAAATAAATAAAATAAAATAAAATAAAATAAAATAAATAAAATAAAATTTAAATTCCATGCGTTTTAACGCTCAAAGTAATATATAACAAAACATCACTGTTGCCACAAAAAATCTACATTATAATGAACATATTAAATTATTGTGTATTAACTGAGTTCGTGCACGTTCCTGAACAACTAGTATAGAGTAATGCTGGTCGAAGTATAGATTTATATAAAAGGAGTTTATTAGAAACGGACAGGTGACTTCTTCTGCCAAGAAGTGGGTGCATAGTTGCAAGCGTGATATTGATTTTTTTTCACAGTTTCGATGAGATGTTTTTGAAAAGTCAATTTTTTATCAAGAATGACTCCTAGATATTTAACTTCGTCAACCCACTCAATTTCTTCATCAAACAGAAAAAGTCTATGTGCGCTTGGAACTTGGAATCTACTATATTAAAAATCTGAAAATAGGATCGATTTTTAATCTGATTAAAAAATAATAATAATAAAAACTTTCTGCTTAACCACTGAGCGACTGCCAAAGCAAGACAAAAATTTTGTGCATGCGCAGTATGTGACAGAATTATTAAGCGCTTTTTTGAAATAGATGTTGAATAATAAAGTGTAACACACACAAAAAAACGAGATTAATATTAAATTTTGATGAATAAATGAATTTTTAAAAATTTTAACCCAAATTATGAACGAGATAAATAATATTTATAAAAAAGCAGTCTATTACATTAATTACTGTTTAATTTAAACATCTGAAATAAATAGTTTCTGACTGAAAGGATATTTTCTAAAAATGGATTTCGAAAGTTATATTCTACATGTTAATAAGTCATTAATCCATGTATTTAGCGCTGAATAGGATTCAGTGCTTGATAATCAAGCAAATATTAAAGCACTGATACCCAATGTTTGCTGACTGAACACGATTAAGGCTCCTCTAAACTATAAGGTTAAGGCTATATAGGAGCCTTAAACACGGTGGGTTGCCGTCAGTAGATATAACAGCTACGGTCACGTGATGTAACCATTGTTTAACGAGGCAAATGGCGCATCGGAAGGGAGGTCTAGGCAGATTTCGGCTTTAAATATCATGAATGAAATATTCACAGCCAAGGTTTTTAACACCTGAAGAACTTTATATGCATTTTAAATTGTTTGAACTTGTGTATAGTGATCTATTGAAGCTGATTTTTGTGCAAGATACTTTCCAAATGTTTGAATTATTGTCGGTATTGCACGTGCGTTTGTGTACATTTTGATAGACGTTCAAGTGAAAGCATTTCGGGTGTTTAAAAACTGTGAATAAAAAATGAAATATGATATATTAAATGCCCCTGATAACTTCTTCTGAAGTACTCTGCAGTTTTGAATCTGATATTATGAGAAATATTTATTGATAATCATTATAGTCGATATAACTTAGAGCTGTCAAGTTTATGTTGATGATACCATGAATGTTATGGTAAGAATTTTCTTATTTTACGTTATAGATTACAGAAATTCCCTTGAAATAATTAATCTTATTTTGATTTTAAAGAGGAGTACGTAGAGAAATCGCTGTATTTATGCATTTCTTTGGCCATTTCAATGAGCTGTTGATTTCTGTTTGTATAATGTATTCAGATAAACAAATCGGACTGTTCAAAATCTAGCTTTTATTTTGTGGTTGGGTTTTAAATACTGTTTAATATGTAGTATAAATCTTCTTTAAGTATAAATGTAGATTAAGAAGATTTATATCGAACAACATACTTTTTTTCTGTTAAGTGAATTATTGATTTCTTGTTTTAATTGGACAGTTTAATGTATTTATATTTGTTACCGACATGAAAACTTACGACATTAAGCTTTCATTAATGGTAAATAAACAAGTATACTGCATTTATTTCATCTTTCTTTTTCTGCTATAGTATTTACTAAAACAATTTCTTTCAATATTTTGGAAAAACATTTAAAGAGCTTAAAATGTGTGAATTTTTTTTAAATTGCTTTCTTTTCATATACGTATTTTTGAAATATATTTAAGAATTGTAACTGTTTAAAGTTAATTATTTGTTGTTTTTTGAGCATATTGTTGTGATTTAGAATCATATAATATGTTTTGGAATCGTATGTTGTAGTAAATTTGGTGCTAACTTTAGTTCAGTAATTTATTTTTGATCTGTGTATCGAAGAGAAATAATATCATCATAGATTCTATTTTCTTTGGAAGAGCATTATCTGTATGCATTATTTTTTATGTATATGCTGTAAATCTGAGTCATTTTCAGTATTCGTAATGAAAATCAGTTCTGCACTTTTTCAGATACTGCAGATATTTGCTTATAACTGAAAATTTTAAAATTACCTCTACAGTTATTCGATTAGATTTTGTTAATGTATATAATGTGAGCAAACAAATCACAAAACTCTTCTGTTATCAGATCCAAATTCAGAAATGTACGTATATAAATGTAAATGCGTATTGTGTGTGTTACACGCACATGCATACATAAAACATGTACATACATGCATATATATATATATATTTCTTAATCCAGTCTTGATACAGATACAAATGACTTCCCTGTATATAATTGAGGAATTTTCAATAATTTTCTGTTATGTGCCCTAAAAAAAAAGTATTATAAAAACCTTGCAATTTTTGTATAGTTTTTCCTTTTAATTGGAAACATATATATGCTCTAAGTAAAGAGAAATATTCATTATCTGTAAGGTCCCAATCACATTATATTTCAGCTATGCGGGACTTGACTTCGAAAGGGACAATTCTCAGAACCCGCACAATTCCAGGAAACCCACGTAGCTAGATTACCATTTTCACTTACTATAAAGACTTAAATGCCAAACGGTAATCGATTATCACTCAGATTGGGATCACGTGATCCTTCAGAAGCAGAACTTTCGTCTGATTGGTTGTCTCTACCCAGGACAGAGCTCCAGCCGAGACATTTTCGGTGAGGTTTGAATAAATCCCGTAACAGTTTTGTCTTTGCTAGTCGGGACTTCGCTTTCAGCAGGGCTCTTTTTTCCAGGAATCCTCCCGTTTAAACCAGTGCTACCAGAATCTCATTTCTCAGAAAAGTCCCGTCTAGCAGGGACTGTAGCATTATGTGATAACCTCTTAACATAAAAATTCAGCAGCAATACAAATATGTAGAATTTATTAAAAATCTGCAGAAAGATGCATATTTTGAATGCATTCCAAGAGCAAGGTACAGCATTTTAATATTCTTTTATAGCATGTATTCTGTTGGATAAAAGGTGCAATATTCTGCATAACTTTTCCCGTATAGTCATGTCTGGCATGTGGTGGTATTCTTGTGTGGAAAAAGTGCGTCTTTCGGGATATAATATATATACAGTCAAAAGTCGTTAATCCGGACTCGTCGGGACTTCACCGATTCCGGATTATAGATCATCAGTTTAAATCTGGTAAGATAGCATGCAGAAATTATAAAATTAAACATATGAAACCGTAATTTTTGAAATAAAGAACAATTATGATCTAAAGGGTATCAAAATTTACAAAAAAAAAAAAAAAAAAAAAAAAAGCATAATATTTATTTGTTTACTTTATTAAACATTTCTTTCAAGGTAAGTTGTTTTGTTTTTTATGTGATAATACTTTCTCTTCTCTTTAATTCTATAAACAGACATAATTTCTTGTTCAGTTACAAAATTCCGCTGTTCAAGTCCTATAATTGTTGTGTTGAGAACCGACTAATTTCTCAATCGAAATTTTTCGTTTTTCAATAACTCTTGTGTCACTTTCTTCACTATCAGAAGCAATTATAATGACGAGGAATTTGATTTAAATCATATCAAAGACGGAATAAATCGAGATAAATACTACATTTAGTAAGGAATTATAAGCCAAATAAAATGAAAACATCTGCCCTGAAGATAAGGATAGTGCTGACAGATCAACTTCCAATTAATTGCGCGCCGCGGCGTCCCCCCCCCCATGCCATAGAGCAGCGTGAAATTGATAAACAGATTTTAGAATGGTTAAGTCATTTTTTGCAGCAATTCCACTTTTGTTTAATGGACTTCGAAACATGCTTTGTAGATCCTTTACATATTAGTAAATATATATCAGAAATTCTATTTCACATAATCAAAAGTTCAAGCTTTCTTTTATAAAATTGCTCGAACAGTCTGCGAAAATTAATGAGCCAGATCCAATTCGAAGATTAAGGAACAACACAATCTGCAACATTAAATGAAATAAATAGATTAGATAATTTTAGCTTGGCTTATACCATTCCGTTATACATTAAACACGCATGCGTAAACGCATATTGTGCATGCGCACATTGTGTATTACACATGCGGAGTAAAGTCTAACTGTAGCTTTGAAGTCTGGATTATAGATCGCACAGAAAGTTTGTAGCTTTGAGGTCCGTATTATAGATCATTCCGGATTATAAGTCTCCGAATTAATGACTTTTGACTGTATATATAAATAGGCTGAAAATTCGAATTAAAAAAATTAGAATAAAAATTTTTAAACCCGCCCTGCGCTATAGCTACATAATTGAAGTAGAATAAACTTAAAGCATCTAAATTGATTAGTTTAAATTAATTTACATGCTTTAAGGGTTAATCTTTGGATTATGGTAACTTGTCGATTTTTTGGCAAAAATTTGGCGACCAACCCTGCTACAGCAACCTGCTAGTTTTTGTTTGGACGCCATTTTGTTTTCACGAAGTAAAGGCATGTTTTTTTTTTTTTTACTCAACATTTTTTTCCAACAATCTACTAGCCAAATTACGCTAATGCTAGAACTTTTATGAAACAAAAGTGCTTAATCATGACGAAGATTAGGTGCGAAATTGGGACAAAGTGCAGAATCGCCCACTGCTTGCCGTATTTTTACGAATTCCACATACACGGTATCATCCATGTACACGTCGACCTATTTTCACTTAAAAAAACATCCTAGAATACACGAATGTTGTGCCAACTACTTGTAACCTAAGTCTAGCATATACACTAACTGCAATTTGTACCTTGGAAGTTTTTTCTATAATTTATAATATGTTGGACTTTTTGGCTGATCTTTGGAATATGGTAACAGGTAGTTTGGCGACATTTTGGAGGCGATAAAGGTTACTACCTAGGACTTTGGGAATAATGTGAGAAGTACTCAGTTCCGATTACGCATTATTTTGTGTGAGGGAAATGAGAGATCATGAGATATGTCATGTGACATTAATGGACGAATCACTGTTCTTTAATCGGAAAAGGGGGTAAATTTGTAAAAATATCTGCTGTACAGCATTAGTTTCATTCTATGTTCTGTGAAACAGTGTTGTTTAATATTTGGATCCCATGGCCCTATATAAAGTAAATCCGAAATTTTTATTGCGTTTATGTGTAATTGAAAAGAATTGCTTAATTGCGGATAAGTATGAATGTCCAACATGTGGGTATGAAATGAGATTGTGTGAAAGGAAGGATATTACAGATAAGTTTGAATGGCGGTGCAAGAAATCTGGTGAAAATGGACATTTTGTGATCCGCCATGCACTCAAGATTCTGTAGAAGATTAGGTAAGTTAGTATTTTTAATTATTTGAGGATATTATTTTTATGCATTGTTCTAAATGTAAGGAGTAAATAAATTAATATGGTATTATTGGAAAATTGTTATTAGCAATGATTTAGTTTAAAGTAATTAGGATTGTAAGCTAATTTTTATTAATTTAATGTATGTGCTTATTTATATTTTAAGTAGTGTTTTTTAATTTAATGATCGTGATTTTGAGAGTTATATGTTTGTAGTATTTTGGAATACGTTTGAGTAGAAGTAAATGTGCATGGAAAGAATTTAAGTATTTGACACTAAGTATTTGGAACCATTTTTAATGTTTGCGTTAGAAATTGGTAGGTGAGGTTTATAATAGATAATTTAGAGGTAAAAGTTTTGGATATTTTATTTATTTTATACGTGCAAATGTTCATCCTTGGAAAGGGTATATACTTTTTCGCGATCAGGTAATTTCATATATGTCCTTTTTACCGAATTTAAAGATTCACAAAATTTTCATGCATTTTCGTAAAATTTTTCTAATTTATGAGAAAAAAACAGTGTACATAGATATAGTGAAGAGTGTGCGCAATGCCATTTTTGTGCAATTCTGAGATGTTTTTTTAAGTAAAAATAAGTCGACGTGTACATGGTTACTGTGTATGAGCGATTTTGAAAAACGCGGCAAGGAGTTTACGATTCTGCACTTTTTCCCAATTTTGCATTTAATATTTGTCATGATTAAGCAGTTTTGTTCCATAAAATTTCTAGCATAAGTGTAATTCAAGCTAGTAGATTGTTGGAAAAAGTGTTGAGTAAATGAAAAGGAAAATCTCTTTACTTCGTGAAGACAAAATGGTGGCGAAAAAAAAACAGAGGGTTGCTGTAGCAGAGTTGGTCGCCAAATTTTCGCGAAAAAATCACCA